ACGTCATGCAGAGGTTGTTAGGGGATGGTCGCCGGGCAGCTCGACGTGATGGTCATCGAGTTCGACTCGACGAGGACGTCATCACTGGACTTTCTGGGCACCTTGAACGTCTGATTGTCGGGTTGGACACGAGGACCATGTAAGTGGTCATTGGGTTGGACACGATGACCATTGCATGCAGCGGACTTTTCGGGCACCTGGAACCGTCGATTATCGGGTTGGACACGACGACCATACAATCGGTCATCGTGACGGCTGACGAAATTTTCATCTTGGTGCATTGCAATTCTACATATAGATATCTTTGAGCATCAGACAATCCGGGCATTATCGGGTCTGACACGACGAGCACAGTGGTGTACTGAGGTTAGAGGGGTCACATCAAGCAACAGGAGCTGCAATGCGGGGTCTTTGTTGACGTCGTCAAAATCAAAGGACAGATCGTGACCGTTGATCGTTGAGATCGACAACTTGCATGGACCCTTCCCAAGCACAGCAATATTCATGATAGACATTTCAGATAGTGGGTAAGTTACCTGGGCAATGGACCACGATCTTTTGAGAAGCAGATCGCCAATTAGCGCAGCACCCGCTTTACGTCTCCCCTGTCGCCAGTAGTAATTTGTCCGACGGACGAATGTTCGCCCCAGCGCACGCGATCGTCGACGATGGAGCCGCTTTGCGTCGCTAGTGGCAGTTTGTCTGATGGACGAATGTTCGCCCCAGCACATTCGATCGTCGACGATGGGAACGTGAACGCAAAAGCGCTCGTCGCAGCACATCTGCTCACGAAAAGAGGGTCGCGCCATCTAGTAGAATAGTCGTTTGTGCCCCCTTTGTGGCACCGAGCCATCGGCACCCCGTTTGGCACCGTAGGCATGCGACGACGGGAAGGTTGAAGGTCCGCGAAAGGGGACAGGCTCCAGGCACCGTCGGGTCGATGCGATCGGACGGTCGATGAAACGCGGGAGGGGCTCCGGAGTATATAAAGACGACGGGGCCCCTCTTCCATTTCCAGCGCAGGTCGGAATTGGATTGCGGCGCGTCGATATCGCCACCATCGATTCGACACGATCTGACGGTCGTCACGCTGTGGCCGGGGACATGCTGCACAGTATATAAGGAGGATATGGCCTTCCTCCATTAGGTATTCTTTGTTTCATGTGAGAGAAGAGAGTGATTGGGGCCGACAGAGCTGTTGGGAGTCCGTGAGCGCAAGAGAGGAGGAGGGCGTGAAAGAAGAGAGCGAGTGGGCCGGCGGCGAAGACCTATCGGACACCCACTGTCGGGTCGGCTGTTGGAGAGTGAGTGATTTCTCACCGCGCCGCGACGCAAGCGCTGTTCCAAAGGCGTGGAGGAGGCTCGTCCGGAGCGGGAGTTAGAGTGCGGATCGTGGAGCAACTTTCTGTGAGGCGAGCACAGCGAACAGACGGTGAGGATTCGTCCGGATCCTATGATTTCCAATCACCACGCACCACGTGGCACTTCAAACTCTGCGATTATCGAATCGAACACGACAATCGCCCGAGGAACGGCATTGCAAAGGAAGCGTAATGTCGTCGTCTTCGTGTCGAACACGATGACCAGCGAGAGTATTGTCGCGGGCGATGCCCGACGATGACTCCTCCCCGCTGCATACGTGGGGGATGCGCTGTGGTTGTCGTGTTCAACACGACAACCGCACCCTAGTGTGTCGTGAGCCGTCGTGTTCAACACGACGACCGCACCCTAGTGTGTCGGGAGCCATCGTGTTCAACACGACGACCGCACCCTAGTGTGTCGGGAGCCGTCGTGTTCAACATGACAACCGAAGCCATGAATGTCGTCAGTTGTCGTGTTCAACACGACGGCGGCTCTTCCACGATGTATGAGCGGGGCGCACATCGCCCCCCGCCGACCGCACCCTGCTTTCTCCGTAGTTGTCATGTTCAACACGACAACCGACTTCTGGCGCGTCGCTAGTCATCGTGTTCAACGCGGCAACTGCGGAGAAACAAGGGTGCCGTCGAGAGGACGATGTGCGCCCCCCCACATACTGACGTCGTCGTGTTGAACACGACAACTGAAGAGACACTAGCCTTCGGTTGTCGCGTTGAACACGACAATTACCAACGCGCCAGAAATTGGTTGTCGTGTTGAACACGACGACGGCTCTTCCGCGGCGTATGCGCGAGGGCGCACATCGTCCGCTCGACGACCGCGCCCTTGTTTCTCCGCAGTCGTCATGTTCAACACGACAACCGGCTTCCGGCACGTCGGTAGTCGTTGTGTTCAACGCGACAACCGAAGTTCGGTGTCTCGTCAGTTGTCGTGTTGAACACGACGACAGAGGAGAAACAAGGTTGCGGTCGTCGTGTGGACGATGTTCCCCCCCCGCCCTTACACTGTGGAAGAGCCGCCGGTTGTCGTCGTGTTCAACGCGACAACCGAAGCCTTGTGTCCCGTCAGTTGTCGTGTTCAACATGATGATGGGTCTTCAACGGTGTGTGCGCGGGGGCGAACATCGTCTGCACGACCACACCTTTGTTTTTCCGAAGTCGTCGTGTTCAGAGTGACAACCGGAGCCCGGTGTCTGGTCAGTTGTCGTGTTGAACACGACGACGGCGCTTCCACGTCGTCCACACGACGATGTGCGTACATCGACCGCAGTCGTCGTGTTGAACTCGATGATCACACTCGTCGTGTTGAACTCGATAATCACACACGACGACCACTCCGTGTGAGTACAGTGAGGTGGTTGTTGGGTTGGACATGAAAATCACGGCTCCCTGGCAAAATTCCAACAAACCCCGTACAACAACCATGCAGGACAACCACACCGCACTTTCAACCACCGACCCGAGCTCCTGGGGTGCGAGATGTTGCCGGGCGATCTTTGTGTTCGACTCGACAACCACCAGGATGTTGTGAGGCTCGAGATGTCATCGTCCCGATTGAGCGCTTTGTGCCGACGATCTCTGGCGTCTCACCTGAGTGCTGTGCGGTGGTTGTCGAGTTCGACACGACAGTGGCATCTCACCTGGATGTTGTGCGGTGGTTGTGGGTTCGACACGACAGTGGCAGCACCTTGGCTAAACTCGAATGGCGCCCATTCCCGCAACATAAGGTCGTGCATTGGTCGTGCAGTTGGGGTGCGACATGTTGCCGGGCGGTCTTCGTGTTCGACTCGACAACCACCGGGATGCGGTTGTGAGGCTCGAGATGTCGCCATTCCGAATGGACGCTTTGCGCTGACGATCCAGGGGCGGTCGAAATGTCGAAGGCGAAGACCGGGGGCCTCTGGCATCTCACCTGAGTGTTGTGCGGTGGTTGTCGAGTTCGACACGACAGTAGCAGCACCCTGTCGAAATTTGAGTGTCACCCATCCCTGCAGCAACATAAGGTCGAGCGTTGGTCGTGCGGTTGCCATGCAGAACATGTTTACAACTGCCAGTGCAGAACATGTTTCCAGCGTTGTTCGGTTCCGAGTCTGTGTTCGCAAACCTTGTCCCTACTCCTTGGAGCAGTGGGATTCTTCCTGCTAGCTATTGCTGATTTCTTCATTGTGTCGTGCAGGGCGCTTGCATATCGCGATGGACATCTCTGATTGGATCACCCCTGCTGGTCGGCACGAGAACTTGGCTTACCCTTTTCCACCGTGCGTGGTGGGCTTGCGTGGGTGTGGAGAGTCCACTGAAATCTACGGGGCGACTCGGGAGGACTTCTAGTCTGATCCCTGGATGAGGGTCGTCCCGTGGAAGAATGACCACCTGGACTCGTGGGGAGAGCATCAGTGGGAAAGGATGCTGAAGGAGTGCCCGTGGGCGAAAGACTATGAGTTCACTAATATGCTCGAGTTCGGAAGTCTTATCTCAGTGCCCTATGAAGTCCTAGGTTCAGTGCGTCTGCGACACCTGTGCAAAAAACTCAATTCTAGTCGTTATTTCAACGTCCTCGGCTGTAGATACATTACTGTCTCGCCTCGCACATGGTGTCGTTCACTGAAACGGGAGCTGCTAAATGTGCCAGGCATTGTCAGTTTCTTGATCAGTATCCTTTACGATCTCCTGGGCTATCGCCTCGAGTCGTATCGTACTGCTGCGTCAGATTGCATATGGGACAGTTCTTCTTTTGTAGGATCCTTTGCATAGCGTGTTCCAACAATAGTAGGACCCTCACAGACGCTGTGGTGTACGTGTCCAGGAACAAGTTGGAGATAGGAAAACGCGGGGTGGGTTTAGTTACACGAGAGATCGCTAGGAGATGGGATTTGGCAATCGGGGGTAAGGTGGACGACGTCGACGCATGGCATGAAGTTGAGACAAAAGCGTCATCTATACGGGATGCCATAGGCAGGTCTCTGGCCGGCACGACCAGTTTTGTGCGAATGAAATACATTTCAATGTTTGCGGATGATGCTTCTGTCGAGGAGCCGTTGTGTCTGACGTTCGGATGTCCTGTTCGAGCAGCTAATGACTGCATGATTGCAACAGCTCGCCGTCATCGGTAGATGTTCTAAACATTGGGCGTCAGCAAGTTGAGCGTCGCTTCTTCGGGATCGCAAATGGCACCCTGCCTTTCGGTCGTTCTACGAGTTCTGCACAGATGGCACCCTGCCTTTTGGTCGTTCTACGAGTTCTGTTGTCGGACCTGCCTCTGACTTTCTTCCGCTTCATTGTCAATCTCTGGCATCGGAAACAATCTCTTCCCCTTTCTTTTCGTCACCTTGGACTGGGGCAACAGGCCGTTTCAAGTGATCGGTTGCCTGGTCGTTGAACATTTACAGTGATGCATGCCTTCGAAACATTTCTTTCCTGTGTATTTGTGCTCGTACATGCGAAGAGTGTCTTCCGCTTCGTTGTCAGTCTCTGGCGTCGGACGTTTACAGTGATGTGTGCCTTCAAAGCATTTCTTGAATGTGTCGCGGCAACTACAACATTATCCGCGTGCCTTCTGTGTCTTTTCGGTATCATAAACAGCCCCTTCCGCTTTTGTGCTGCAGACCTGAAATTGTCGAAAGTGTACTATGGATTTCTGACACATGCGCAAATGTAAAATGTTTCGCTCTCTGATCTGAGCCCATTCTATTATTGTGGACTGTGACGCAGGTGGGTTCGTGCATGGTGCATGCTTCTACATCTTGCACTGTGAAGTCGAGGGATTTTGTCCTTATGCCGGGGTAGGTCGTGTCGAACAGGACAACAACCTCGACATACATCGTCGTGTTCGACACGACCATCTTGCGCAAGAGCTTCTTTCTGTGTGAAAAAAATCTGCACTCTCTGAAAAAGAGAAATACCCGCCCTTCCACCACGAGTCGTTATTGACAACCTCCAATGGAGGCAGCGACCCGCCCTCAGGGACTGTCGCGTCGAAACCGAGAGAATCATCGTCGTGTTTGACACGACCGTTCCGGAAATGAGTGCGCGTCGTGTTCGACCCGACAATCACTAAGGGTTCCTCAATGCCACTGCCCGAAGTTGTCGTGGCGAGGAGGGGATGTGTCCTGCGCACTGAAGACTCTGTGGCTCGATGCCGCCAGCCACTGAAGAAAAGTACTCGTCCGCTTCTTCAATTCACAGGACTCATTCCCTGCTCGCCGGGACAGCCCACTCATTAACCCGCTCTCCGGCATGGTCGTATCGCAGGGGGTGGGTGTTTGCCACTATGCTCCTCAGGATGCTCTTGTCGTGTTCGACACGACAATCGTAGGGGGTGGGTCTTTGCCACCAGTCGTTGTGCCGGGTTGTCGCGTCTGACACGACAATGCTATCTAGTGCAGTGTTGATCGAAGGGGATTTGTCCGTCGAATGTGTTTCTGAACGACAGCTGAATTATTACTGATATCCATCCGGGTTGTCGTGTCGGACATGATAACGCGGTCTCGACTATTAGTAGTCTTGTCGTGTCCGCCACGATTACGAGGTCTCGGCTATTGCTCGTCTCTCGGCGTTGTCGTGTTGGAAACGATAACCTCATCCTGTGAAATGTCATTCGAAAGTTGTCTTCTGAGAGTGGGTGGTGCAAATGCATGTTTGTCCACCTTGAAGGAGTTTCGCATTTACTGCTTTGCTTTGTTGATTGTTTTGGCATGACAGCTCGGCTGTTACTAGACTCCACTCGACTCTGCAGAATGGATGCTACAGAGCAACAAGCGAAACGCTCTAGAACCAGGAGCTCTGCGAGTGTCGAGCACTCGCCCAAAAAATTGAAGGGAACCCCAGTCACCGTGGTGGATAAAGAAGAGACGCCAGGATCTAGGGCGACAGTACAGCGCCGGTCATCGAGCTCAGCGATGCAGACGCCTGTGCAGCGACGTACGCCTCTTTCAGGTACACCTCTTTCAGGTGCGCGGAGTCACCCTCGGGGATCTGATCAAGGCAGGGAGGGAGAACACCATGTCCGGATTGTGGGGAGTGCTCAAGGTTCTGGTGGTGGTCGTGGTCAAGGGTCTGGTGGTGTTCGTGGTCAAGGATCTAGTGGTGGTCGTCGACAATGCGCAGAAGAGACAGCGCGGCATTCGGGCTCCGCCGAGAGGTCTGTGCATGGGGTGTCGGACGTCGAGCCTGTTGTTGACTACAAAGACAAATTATGGATGTTGGATTGGGCAGGCGATATCGGGCAGGCTGGAAGTGGTCTGCTTCTGTTCGTCGTTTTGTGAGAGCAACTCAGACCGGTCGACGGTATTGCGTCTTGGGTGGGGAGGGACAATCAGTTTGTGACTTTCGAATTGCCTATGCTCCTCAACGGCAAAGGCCAGAGAGTTCCGGATGTGAAACATGTTGTCAGGTGGAGTAACCATAAGGGATATGGTAAATCACTTTTGGATATCTTCAATCCAGATCCGAGTCTTCAATTGAGATTGTCTGATCTAATTGAAGTGTTCGCGTTCTTCGACGCGAATGTGATTCGAGGCCATGGGGCTGTGGCTCACAAGGATGACGCCGTGACAAAACCAAAAAGTGTTATGTCAGCAGCTGCACTAGGACAGTCTTCGGGAATAATGCGACCAACTGTGGGTGCCATATCTCTCCGGCCGTCAGCGTCCACGGCGATTGTCCCGAAAGCGGGTCAGATCGCTTCCAAGGGCCCCGCTCATGCACAGGTTCCACCGCCGGCGCCGAAGAAGATCCGTGGTTTAGCAGCGAAAAAGCCATTGGATGTACTGCACGACATTGTGCGTTCGTCGAGTATGTATGGTGCCGCTGTGCAAGGGCATGAGGAGCACTCGAGCATGTACAGTGCTATGCAACGTCATGAGAAGCCTTTGTATTTCGGAGATTCGGAGGAAGGGAGCAACAAAGAAGGAACAGAGAGGGAAGACGAAGAGGAAGGTTCACAGGAGAGAAGCGGTGGAAGCCAAGGAGAGGAAAAAGAGGATAGTGAACAAACTTTTGGTGAGAGGGAAGGCCATGAACGGACACAAGCCAAGGAGTTAGAGAGACGACGACACTCAAGTGTTCATGCTGGGTTGTGCATTGAGCGGAAGGAGAAGAGCGATGACGAGCACTATGAAGATGTGCAGGAGCAAGAAGAGGGTTGGCATGTGGACAAGCTGCAACACAAACCCGGTGGAAAATTTGAACAAGAGAGGAGAATGCAGGAGCCAAAGAAGGTACAACTACATCATCGTCGGTTGTGGCTGTTGAGGATAAGAAAAGGAAAGCTAGGCAGGAGAGGAGAAAAAGTATTGACCAAAAAAGGAGCAGGAAGGAGCAACCTCTGAAAAGACAAGTGCAGCCACTGCCAATGGATGAAGCAGTCCAACGTACTCGCGATGCAGAAGCTGCTGCAAAACAAAAGCCGGCGCGGAAAAAGAGAGTAGCAAAGGGAGGTACGATGGAGAAGACGACAGTTTTCCCCGCCTCTGAACAGCCACAGTCTGGCGATGAGGGGAAAGGCAAAATTGTCATGCGGCCATCAAGATTGCAACTGTCGCCAAGTGAGCCAGCCACTTTGCATCTCGGGAAGGGATTCTTTCTGGACTTCAATCCAGACGACACCCAAAAGAGCGAGACACAGTTTATCACCGTCGAATTCCGAAAGATTATGGACATTCCAGATGAAGAGTTTAGATATAACCAGAGATTTCTCGGCCAAAATCACGTTGATGAGATCTACGAAGCGATGGTAATATCAGGTGAAGCGGCTATTCATGAAAGGACAACAGGCAGGACAGGGTTGAGCACAAGTCCGTTATACGAGAAACCTATATTGTTGTTAGTGGCAGTGCATGACCAGCTTCATACAAACTCAAAGGGTGAAGTTGTGCGAGCAAGAAGGGTTACTCCTGACGACTTCCACTAAAAGCCGCTGGATAAGTACTTTTGGTACCCTCTCAGTGGTCAACACAATGTGGCGGCAGCAAGGAGATGTTTTCGCGAAAATCCGGCTGTGTCAAAAGAGTTGCGGCTAGATTATTGGACGGCCAGACCTGTTTATTATCCGGACCAGTTCATGGATCACTATGGAACGTTGAGCACATTCCAGAATGCAAAGGACAAATGGAACACTCCGCCTCATCAGAGCATTGTAGTTCGAGACATCAGGAAGTTATGGAAGGCGTCCGACTGTCTTGATGCCAAAGGTGGGCAGGGAGATGATATCAAAAATGCGGAATATAGGAAATTTGTAGGGGAGGCGCTTAGAGTGACTGGTATACATCATTACATTAGTATGTCACTTGGTCAGTGGAGTTCGGAATGGTCGGACTTCCTCGGTCCTTACATGATCCTAGCTAGGGCATTTGACGATGTATTTGAAAAAGTGGAGCAGGTGTATACGGCTTGGGAAAGCGGACAACTATCTGGAAGAGACGCGGTGAAGCCTGTCACGAAACAAGGCGAAGCAGGAAAAGCACAAAAGTCGGGTCCCGGTTTTGAGGTGAAGAATGGATCTAGAGTTCCTGTGTATTGGATACCAGGCACGAAAGGACCTGGTTTCCTTGTTCCTGTTCATGATCCGGATGTCAGGTCATGGAAATCACTTTCCACTTTGGGCAGGCGTGAGCGACTGTAGATCTTGTGTGATGTCTTAGGAGGTGCTGTGATCTTGGTTCCAAAGCAAAGCAAAGCTGCGAAAGTTGCCGGGTTGCATTCAATGGAAACGTATGTTGAAGTCGTGAAGACGAAGAGAGTGATGTTGCGAATGCTTCATTACTTCGTCTTTGTTTCAAATGCGGCGAAGAAGCCGTCCGATTGGAAGGACCCTTTTTTCATGGACCTGGTTGATTTATTCGACAACTATCGCGATCAGGGCCTTACATATGAGAGATGGGTTGATCAGAGGCAACATTTCAAAGATTTGCCTTGGATAAAGTCATTCCCGTTAACTCTGGGAGGCCAAGATGAGAAAGGGGAACAAGGTTTTGAGAAAACCAAAAAACTTGCTGAGAAATGTCCTAAAGAGTTCGAGCGTTTTGTGGAGAAGTTGTTGCATAGGTCAGCAATGCGAGGTTCAAAGAGCATTCGCTTATCCGGGCAGCGAAATATATACACTTTCTAAAACAAGATGTGAAGTCTATTTTTGTTCCTTTCCAATCAGATCTTAGCGATGTCTCAGATGTCATGGATTGTAAAGAGGTCATCCGACATCTGACATGTTACACAACAGTGCTTGATTTGTGCCATCCTACTCAAATGGCCAAGTGGACAGAGCCGATTTTTGATGGACTCTGGCAATTCATGAAAATGGTGGGAGGGGAGTATTGGACGCTGATATGCTTCATTCCGCGGTCCTGTGAGCTGACCTTTTTCAGGCGGGTGGTCCAGTCGGATATTCACATGTCAGTCGCGAAGTGGACTCGCCAACAACAACAGAAGGTCCGCCATCCGTATAAGATTGCAAATTTGTCATTGGAAGATGCGGACAGAATGGTGCTTATTATGTATTCCAATGATGGGGACTACCACCGGAATACAATACCGTTGTTCGAAGATATCCAACCAACGGGACCATCTTTCAGTACTCGAGCAACTGACATTTCCACACTTGCGCGGCGAGAGCGGAAGCCAAAGGTGCTCACGGATGTATTGGAGAAGAACTTTCTGCCAACGAAGTGGAAAATGGCGGGTATGGAGCCGAAAGAAAAAGTTGTATATGAAGGAATGGAGAGGGACCCAAATGCAATGGTAAAGACGTTGGAACACTTATGTCCAGTGGATGAAGCTATTGTGTTTTTGGGAAAGGGTCATGCAGCTTTGGTGTGGGAGCTATTAAGAAGTAATTGCCACTGCGTAGTTTTGGAAGGAGAGGACATGAAGTTCGACTTCCTTGTACAATTCATAAACAAGATGGTCGACACTCGAGATTATCATGCGAAATTCATCAAGCCACCACCCCGCCATGATGAAGCTCGTGATTTTGTGCACAAAGTGGGTCAAAATATGTTGAACATCTGGCAGTTCCTTTTCGAGATGCGGCCTGAAAACAGGAGAGACCGTGCATATGTTGCTCGCAGGCGAAAAGTTGAGACCCTTCTACGAGGTTATCATAAAGCTTCTTCAGACAAAGAGATTTCATTCCTCGACCGATTGGAAATCATGTATTTTGGTGAACGAATCGGTGCTTTCACAGTCTCTGCCTACGCAACTTGCATTCCGGAGGGTGAAGAGTTCGATGCTGAAGATTCGGAAGAGGAAAGTGTCGATGGTACTTTGCAAACGGCCTTGGCATGCGAAAGGGAAAGGACAAGTACCTCGTCTTCTCAAAAGATGGCTACAACAGGGACGTCATCAGGAACTCCTTCAATTGGAATTTCTGGTGTCGTGCTTGCCGACACAACGACACTTCCACTGACTACACCTCCTGACAGCACGACCGCTTTAGCAACGACAGTGTCATCATCTGCAGGATTGATGTCCGATCCAGCGGCGGCCTTTAGAGCTTTGTTCGGTGTTGAGCCCTCCCCCGAGTTATTAACGAGTTTCACAGGATTTGCACAAAGCCCTGCTTTGTTGCAACGTTTCCTTCGTTCTCATACCGCACAACAAGAACCTGAACCTGCAGAGGTGCTGGAGTATGAGTATGAGATTGGGGATAAGATCCCCGCGGACATCGCATTATTGATGGGGCCTATCGTTTGTCGAGATGACCATACAATGATGGATGATGATAAGTGGGGTCACGACATCGTGTGGCATCCACAACATTTTCAACCGGCATTGGGGAAAGGACAATGGGTGATGGCAATAAAACAAGACGGGCAGTGGCAATTTTGTTCTCACAGACGTATAGCGCAATCGAAGTTTTATACACATGCAGAGGATCAGATCAAGATGCGGCTTTCTCGACTCAATCCTAATGTTTCCCCATCAAGAGTGGACACAAGGAAGCAGCAGATTTTCCAGGAACTCAAAGCATTACGAAGATTTGAGTACTTGGAAAAATTTTATGATAGAGTAACAAGCCCGGCATATGGATACAACTAGCATATTGAGGAGGATGACGACACCGAAGGGGAAAAGGACAAGGTTCTAGCGGTGGTGCGAGTGGAGAGGGAGTTGGACACCCAAGTGGTGGTGAGGGAGGAAATGATAAGAAAGGGAGTGGTGAAGGTGGAGGGACATCACAAGGGCCTGCGTCCAATCAGCCGTCAAGAGGTGCTACAAGAGGTCAACCACATCGCGAGCACGTGGGAAGCGGCGGTCCTGTAGGAGGACGTATCGATGTCGGTGGTTCGCAGCAAGTCAAAGTGTCCACTGCAGAAAGACAAGTTGATGATTGTGAAGGTGGACTAAGTGCCACCACGACACTCACACTCACAAGTACCACAATGACAGATGTTGTATGGTATGATGCCAGCGGCACAAGTGTCTTCCCTGTTGGCGAGAAGGCAAATATTGGCAGCCCGCATGACCATATGTGGGAGTCTATGGATATTATGTCATGCGGATTGGAAAGTCAAGGGCGACTTAGGACATCAATGGATGAAACCATGTTTGCGGGGGTGACYGAACCGCAGGTCGAGCCTACCACTCCGCTCGATGAAAAGACACTCAGAGGCGACTTGGASATTCCTACYGATTTTCRAAGTCCGATATTGACGGAGAAMKCACGACAAGGGTCTCAGGATGCGCCTATTGCATGCGGAACGGCAACAACAATGGAGGAAACCATGTTTGTGGGGGAGCTCGAACCGGAAGTCGAGTCTAACAGTCTATTCCATGGAGAGACCCTCGGCAGCGACTTCGACATTCCTACCGAATTTCGAAGTCCGATATCATCAGAGAAGGCGCAAGGAGGGTCTCAGGTTTCGCCTGTTGTATGTGTTACTGCACGAAGAAACGACACTCTTTAGGGGCTCATGGGAAAAGCAGCAATCCAAGCACCCGACATCGAAGAGGATGAAGGCCATATTGTACGGACTACTCCAGAGCAACACACACCTGTGGAGGAAGGAAAAGAGAACAAACTTGAAACTCCTCTCCAACAGTTGAGCCCAGTTGTTCCAGTTTTAACCATCGAAGAATCCCCTGTCAGAGAAAGGCAGTTGGGAGGTGCGAAAAAAGACGATATTGAAGGGAAAATTGCAGTTAGTCGCAGAGGTGAGCGCTTATCTCACGTAGGGAAAATTTATGTAATATTTTGTGTAAAACATGAGTTGATTTTTCATTTTTTTCTGCCGCACTTAATTGGAAATACTCGATGTTTATTTGCATATATGTAGCGTGCTCATTCACGTTGTTTAGGTGGATTTTTAATAATGTTATAACGAGCGTCACTCATATTATGAAGTACAAGATTGACTCTTAATATTTTACTGCTATTAATGTTCATTGACATTCACGTTGTTTAGGTGGATTTTTAATAATGTTATAGCGAACATCACTCATATTGCTTGTTACTATCGGTCATGATTGTGGTCTCTACATTGATGAACGTGCAGACATGCGTAAAGGACTGTGGAAAGCGCCTCGCGTGCACTCGCAAAGGAACAAAGACAAGAATATTATATGTCGTGGTTTGCAAGCCTTGTCAACGTTGCCGTTGTTGCCAAAAACAGTTAAAAAACGAGACGAACATGTGACGATCCCATTTGTGAAGCCAGCTGCTCTACGGATGTTTACAACTGTGGGGATAGGGACGAAACAAGGGAAGAAATTGCACCGTGAGGTTTGCACTTTGTCTATTGTGGAAAGCGGCAACGACAGCGAAGTACGCAAACAAGCACCGTAATGAACTCATGTTCGCTTCTTATATGTATTTTCGGAAAGGCACCACTTGTATGGAAGTCTTAAACATACCGTTGTTGTTTACCTGTGTGTTTCTATGCAGTGTCTGGCTGGTCGTTCAAGATTCCTCTAGCAACGCAACGCCTCACTGAGGTCGAGATGCAGTATGTTAAAAGGGTTGTGAGCACCAGTGAAGATAATGAAGAATACGACATTGTTGTTCACAAGGGTGACTGGAAGGTGGAAAAGAAAGACATCATGGTCATCATTGAAGCAGAAGGATGGTTGAACGATGAAGCCGTGAATTTGTATCTGCTAGCCATCCAGATCGACAACGATAATGCCAGAGAGAGTTTGATGTTTAGAGGAGAGATTAGAGACGAGAGTCCGAAGGACATTCCATCTGTGTATATTTTAGATTCTTTTTTCTATGTCAGATTGGCATCCGCAACGTCGAGAGAAATTGCTTACTGTGAGGGAATGAAGTGGGTCAGGGGAAAAAATATTTTTGATTTTAACTTCGTACTTATCCCTTTGAATTTTGGAAACCACTGGGCTTTGGCATGTGTTAGAATAGACGGTTGCAAGTGTCAATTCCAGCTTGTAGACTCTCTCCCTCGCGGCGACCGCCTCGCACCGCTTGAAGTATGAGCCGCGTTTTTTAGAATGGAGTTCAAACGTCAAAATCTTCATGAAACATATCATGTGGACGATCTTACGACATCTTTCGAGACATCGCTTGATGGGATGCCCGTCCAACATGATGGTTGTAGTTGTGGTGGTTTTATGTTAGGTTTTGCATCTTTGCTAGCTAAAGGTCACTTTCCACCATTCGATTTCTCGCAAGATAACATCCCGTATATGAGGCATAGAATTGCATTCGACATTTTGTCGATGGTCCAGCATGAGTGAACATTCCAGATACGCAGAGTATGAAACACTTCAACACTTTTGTTGATGGTTAATAACAGTTTCAAGTGGTATGTGTCATGCAACACTTTGTTCATGGTTAAGAATAGTCTCAATAGTTTGTATGTGTCATTGAACACTTTGTTGATGGTTGACAATAGTTGGTTAACAATAGTTTCTATGGTTGGTATTGCTTTCCACGATTTTCAAATGTTATTGTCCAAATGACATATTTCTCAAAATTTCCAATGCTAAGTTTTCACCATTTTGCCTTGTTTCATAGTTATTTTCCTCATTTGCTCCTCTCTTATATGTGTTATTTCACACTTGAAAAAAAAATTGAACATGAAAACAATTTCACTTTTAACGAAAACACTGTTACAGGTGACCGCTCCTCAAGACATACTTTTCAGCTTCCTCTCTTGCCTTAAGGCTGACTTCCATAGGCTGCTTGTTCCCTATAAGTAGCAGGCCGATCTCTCGGAAGATGCCGTCATACATCTGTACAAGGAAAAATTATTGTCCTTCCTGGCTCATATCTCGCTTTTTTTTAGTCTGATTCACTAAATACTTCAACTCCCTTTGCGCCCACGGTTCAACTAGGCACATCACGGCGTGCCGACCCCCTTCAACGACCATTGTCATCAACTCCTCTTTCGGCCCCACTGCTGCCCCCCACGAATCCTTTTCATCCCTACGCCTCGCTGTGGTGACTGACCCTTCCCTGAGCTCCGCAACTATGGCAGGCGGCCCTCTTTCCAAAGTCTAAATCAACAATTCTTCTCGTGTGCATGCGAGACTCGTCATCTCATTGTCCACGGCGAGGGTTCCTCCCTCGTATTCCAAGAAGGCGTCGATTGGTTCCGCATCCTCTACCCCTTCCGGTGTGATGCATATCCGACTTAGCCCGTCTGCCTTGTTCCGGAGCCCCGCAATTCGCTCGATCTTGTAATCGAATTGCCAGATAAAGCCTATCCACCTCCCAACAGTCGGGTCTATAGGCTTATAGTTCTTTAATGCTCCCGCGACGTTGGTCGGATCGATCCTCAAGATAAACCGCCTTCCGAATAGGTACGTTTGAAAGGTTTTGAGGCAATGTAGGACGGCTAAAACCTCCTTTTTGAATTGGGAGTACCGCCGTTCTGCTGAGTTCAGGGTTCTACTTTCGAACCTAATTGGCCTTTCTTTGCTCTCCTCGTCTTTCTGTATTAGGACACCTCCTACTGCCAAAGGTCCTCCGTCCGTCTACAAAATAAACGGTCGTTTTTTTTCGTCGTTGAAACAGGGTGCTGCCAAGGTGACTTGGTCAGAAGTCAGTATATCCTTGAGGGTCTGGACCGCTGCTTCCCTTTCCTCGGTCCATTCCATAGTTCCTTCTTCTCTAATCATCGCGCGAATAGGCTCGGCTATCTTGGCAAAGCTTTTGATAAAGATCCGCCAGAACCCGACCACTCCCAGGAAGGCTCGTACCTCCGTCGTGGTGCGCAAGGGTGTTGGCCATTGAAAGATCTTATCTGTTTTTGTCGGGTCAGGCTTCCTTCTATAGGCCCCGCAGCGAAACCCTAGTATGGTCACCTCTGGGACCGCGAGGATGCTCTTTGGTCCACTAGCGGTGATATTATATACTAGGAAACGCTGGAGTAAATCCTTGATGTCCTGTAGGTGATCCCAGACGAATCTTCGAACCCCCGGTTGGACCTCCGTCTCATCCTTGTTGTGTGCGCCTTTTATAGGATTGTCATCTATATACGGTTCGCATTTTTTTGGGAACATGTCCCCGGCTACCGCAAGCATCCTCCTCTGCGCTTCCGCCATAGCGTTCGTAAAGCCCATAGGCGTTACCTGCATCTGCAGCTGCCCTACAGGGGTGTGCATAGCAGTGTATGGTCTATCCCTGACATCTAGTGGCAGCTGGTCATACCCTGAATACAGGTTTATCAGGGAGTAAATGCTTCGTCCAGCGTGAGATTCTGCCAGCAGATCGGCTTGTGGAAGCGATCCCACATCTCGGATTGTCACTGCAGTCAGCTTCTGCAAATCTTGGATCCACCCGAGTGTCTTGTTGGGTTTCCGAAAAACAAACCACTTGTTCGCGTAGGGGGACGCAGTGGGTTCCACCACAAATGAATCTATCTTAGGTCTGAGTAATTTTGTGACCTCTGCTGCTATTCCGAACTCGTAGGCAGACCCTTTGTCGTTCCAACATTCATGCTCCACCGTGTGGATCCTAACGGGGGAAATTAGCTTCGCTTCCAATCGTCCTTTCTGATGGTCATTAAATGCAAATGCCAAGTGAAATTCTTGGCATGTCCTTTTTATCAGCCGGGTTTCTTCCTCCGTTAGGAACCCATCTATTCATATTTTCATGGTGTCTGGTACCTCGTCGGGTATCCGATGCCCTTCCGCCGCTTGCCTCTCCCTTATTGCCTTCAAAATTTTCTCCTCTTTCTCCATGGCCTCCTCCTTTGACGTCTCCACTAGGATCGGAACCAGCTTACCTTTCTTTCCTACTGGTTTATACTTCCGAACACTTCCTTCTGGGATCATTCTTCTAAAAAATAAACGGTCGGACTCGGCTTCGTTATTTCTGCGACGCGGGGTTGGATGTTGACTACCTTCCCGTTCAAACAGTAGCTCTTTCGAACCTCATCCTCAAATTTGGCAAGTGCTGCCGGGTCCACCCCTACTTTATGGTACCTAATAGCCTTGACGAGTTGTAACAGGTCCGGAATTTCGACCGCTACCCCCGGCGTTTCCTTTCACCATTCCTTCAGTTTGGGCAAGCTGGCCCCAAGTTTGACTTCCGACTCTTGCTCAGCCACCATGATTCCTAAGACTTCGTCTTCTTGCCTCTTTTTCTTCAGAGGCAGACCCATCTTAATCCATTCCTTTTTGCTAAAGGCTTCCTTGATCATGATTTTCACTCTTTCTCTCATACCCTCCGTTCGGGCGAATGCTCCTTTTCGAGCACTCTCCTCGAACGTAGATGACAAAGTTGCCAATTTCCCCTTTGGAGGGTCTCCACCTGTCCCAAGGAGTCGGAGAAGCTCTCCCCGGCCAGTCACTGGGTCCTCTATATCTACCATGTATGTGCCATCGTGCAAGTGCACGCCTATCATTTCTACGTTGGAGCACCATGGTCTCCGGAGGATTATGTCGTGGTCCATTTCTTCCATTACAGTCATCCGCTGAAACGACCAGATCGACTCCCTGACCCCAGCCTTGACCTCGCATTTGGTGACGTACCCAGCGAACGGAATTTCTCCGTCGGCTCCCTGGATGCTTCCTGTTACCTCCTTATTTACGGTACAGCCCGTGATCATTGCGAAGTCTCTTCTTATGAGCGTGATTTCCACACCCCGTCTACTAGTGCGTCAGTATGATGGGTCCCAATCTGGACTTTCAACTTTCCCACGGGCAGTGCATGGAAGCTGAGCTTCGTTCCGGGCGGTGCCCTCATGACTTCGCCACCTTCTCGGTCTGACAAGCTTAAGCGAATGTCTGCAAAGGTTTTTTCCAGGTCCTCCAAGTCTTCTGGAATCCTCTGGAGGTTGGTGACCCCTTGCGGTGCCTCAGCCTCCTCCGTTTCCTCTTCCTGCGGTTCCAGAGCCTCTTCTACCTCTATGCGTCTGCGAGTTAGCAGTTGTCTGAGTCCTTTGAGAAGTCTCGGGCTTGCTTGCAACATAGTTTGAAAGGATACAAACACCATGGTTCCCAACAACTTGCTCAGGGTGTCATCGATTAGTGGCATGGCTAAAATCGAGATCTGATATCTGAATTTCTTCTTCGCTGCCGTGACTTTGTCTGTCGGCTCTTCTTCTCTCGTTTTTCCGTAGACTTTCTCTGGTTCCCCGGTCCCAGGCTCAACTTGTTCCGCGCTGGTTCGTGCAACTTCCTCCATTACTGTGTCTCGGATAAGTTTCTTTTCCGCCCCTGCCCGTTGGGTGGCAATGTTCACCCTATCCTGTCCATTACTCTCTAGGATGAAATTGACTTGTGCTCCGCGCCCCGGCGGCTGGTCCCAAACGACGTCGGCTACCGGCTCGGCTTCTACGGCTGCTACGTCAAGATTGTTCAGGGCAATAATGACGCGCCGGATTCCACCAGGCGAATTCCTGTTTATCCGTTCCCCCCGGGGTCCGAAAATTTCGTCTTTAAGTGACCTGCTACACCTCTGTCTTATAATACCGTGATTGAGTCTTGGGCAGGCTCGCAAAAAGTCTCCGACCATCGTGCAGTATTTGCACAGCTCATTGGCCGGATCCTTCCTACCGTATCCTCGGTTAGCTATTGCCGCCGGAACTACGGCCTCTTGGGGCGGGAGGGCGGGTCGGGATACTTGCGCCTGCATTACCAATAGTGCATTTTCTACCCTTCCTATCTTATTATCGACCCCGTGCACTCGTTCGTGCAGGCTTTCTATCCCCTTCTTCACCTTATCTCCCGTCTTTCCAGTCAAGTCTATGGCCTTTCCCTCCTTAAGCAAGGCTAACGTCTCGGTTACCACTGTCTTCTCTGCGAGGTCTGTCACCGTGTTGAAGTCAACGTCCCTCGTGTACTCAAACTTGCTGGTAGTTGGTTGGCCGGTAGAATCTTATTCTTGTCGAACTCAGAGAACTGCCTAAGGAAGTACTTGCTCATGATCCGATCTGTTACCCCGGGAATCCGTAATGCCACTAGAGTAAATGCCCTCAGGAAGTCGCTGTAAGTTGCATAGTTCTTCCTCTGAACAACTACCAGTTCAGCTTCTGTTGCCATTTTCTCCGCCTTCAAGTATTTTCTCATCATTTCATTTCGGGCTTTTTTCCAGGATCCGCTGACGGCGACGATGACCATTATATCTCTCCCTAGGCTCAGTGACACATGTTGCCCTAAATGGTCCATCTTTTCCTCTTCGCTCCATTTCAACAAGGCTGCTAGGTTCTCGTAGTCTATTAGGAATTCCGTAATGTTTGCACCATCGAAGGTGAGTTTCCTCTTGGAATCTGCGAGGTACCCCTGATTTTTGTTCAATGCCCGGGAGAGGGTGGATACTATTTTTTTGAGACCTCCCTCGGAGCTACCCGTTTCGCCAGCCGTACTGGTCCCCTCTCCTTCCTTGCTATCCTTCTGCTTCTCTCCGGTTTTTGTTGTTCTTTCCGGATCGAACCATCCCAACACCCTTTCTCTGAGACTCCAAAGTCCATCGCACCCCTTTGTTATTTTCGGGGCGGCAGGCAAACGGTCAGCACCACTGTCTATGGCAGGCGGGTTCGTAGCTTTCTCCGCTTCTACGTCCGGGGAGTCCCTTTTCTCCTTCCCTTTCTTGCTACACGTCCCCCGGCAGCTACTATCCTTCCCTCCGTGCCCAATTTCGCCCTGGCTGGTCTTGCGCTCCTCTCGTAGTTCCTCCCCCGGAAGGCCCCTTTCATTCCCAGTCATCATTTCCTCAATAAGTTTTGCCTTATACTCCGCGGTTCGCTTTTCTATTTCTACCAACTTACGTCGTGCATCCGAAAGTTTCACTTTCTTGGATACGACCCCATCTGAGTTTCGCGGACTCGACCTTTCCTTGTCCCTCCCTTCCTTATTCTCCTGGGATCCCCGTTTGCTTCCCCCAAATTTTCCCAAACTTTCCCCTGTCGAAAGATCCTTCCCGTCTTCCTTGGTTCCCTCCAGATTTGCTGACTCTCGATCCCTTACTGACCCTTCGTTCCGTTCCGTGCTCCTTTCCGTGCACTGACTCCCATTGCTTTGCAGGTTCCCAACCTCTTTCTCTGACGCCATCCTTTCCTAATCCTGCACATGGAAAAAAAAATTTGCGAAACGGTCGGTCGCTCACAGCTTCCCTGGTTCCCAGGTCCTAAGGTCCTCCATGTTTTGTCATTCCCATATTTTCCGTCTTATATCGGTCGTGACGGCTTATCAAGCTTTTCTCGCTCCGCGAGGTGTCGCTTACCTTTCCCTCTGCCGGAAGGCTCGCTACCGAGATTTGGCGTTTTGTCATTATCGTGCCTCAGTTCTAAGGTGATATCCAGGGTTGGCGGTTCTCCTTTCGATGGTGGCCCTTTTGCCTCCCCGCTTTTGGATACCCTCAGCGTCCTTAGCGGTAGTGGTCTTCCTAGTCCCTTCCTGTCGTATTCTCAGGTAGAATAGGACTCCGACCACTATCCTCCGTAGATGGCTAACCCCTCATTTTGTTTTCTAGCCTTTACTTTTGCTGCCTTCCTCGGTACTTTTCTCACGCTGGACCCTCATGCCTGTCCTGTTCGTCAGGTTCTTCGAACAGGTTAGCCACCCCCACAAGGTAGTTTTCTCCCATTTCTATCTCCCTGATAATTATTGGTTCATATTCTTCAAACGCCAAACGCGGTACTCCGAATATCAGGATTTCGATGAGTAGTTCATGGGCCCGATTTCCCCAGAACGGCCCATGCCTTACTGATACATCGTAAAACATTCCCGTCGTCTGCAGCTGGAAGTGGTGGATCCAGGTTAGGGTCGAGTCCACCAAGTCTCTTGCCCTCGAGAGGCTGCCGAATACCAAGTCTACCATGAAACGGGGTACTCGACACCACAACCCTGTCATCGGGGCCCTAAGCTCTCGCCAGCCTCCTACCTCCACCTGAGTTCTCAGCCCTGCATTCCTTCTCCCCCGAACCTCCTGTCCTATCCGGTTTACTGCCTAGGCAGCCCTTCGGAAGATTGGTAGCAACCCATGTCCTAGTGCCATCTCGGTTCCTAGCATGTGCCATTCAATTTCCGGTAGGTATACGGTCCCCGTCACCCTCAAGTCAGCATATAGATCGTCCCCTGGCCCCCTATTGAACCTCATACCACTCCACAAGCATTCTACCATCATGAACACTTGGTCCCTCCCCAAGGTCACAACTCTCCATTATGTGTCAATCCCTCGAACCACATAGCTTGCTGGAAGTGACACCTCCCATCCGCCTCCGCTTTCCGTGGGCGGCCGAGGGTGCGTGGGTCGTCTCGACATCTGGGCGCGTCTCATTGCCATTGTCAATTAGCGGTTCCCTGCACAGTTTAAACAGCAAGCGAGTCCTGCTTATTTCATCCATTCCTCTGACCACCACTAGGCAACTTCCTACCTCTTGTCCGTCCTCCTTTTTTTCCCTATTCCCTTTTCTTTTCTTTTCTCTTTTTAGCCTGCCTCCTCTCTTGATAGCTCGTATAGGTGGTACAGGTCATCTATGTAAATCAGCCCCTGCTTTATTTCTCTTCAGGCGACGCCCCATAGAACCTCATCGCTAACAACTGGAACTTTAGGCCTTGTGGCGAATACGGTGCACAGTATTCACAACACCTCGTACCTCTGCTCACCGTCGAACGGCCCCATCTCTAGGAAGGCCCGATAATATTCCCGGTAGACCGTCGCTTCTTCAAATGTCAGGGTGGCGAGGTCGGCCACTGCTCGCCTGACAAGATCCAGCCCGCCCAATTTTTCCAGTAAGAAGGAGGGCAATTTCATTCGAACATTCTCACTAGGCAGATTGAAACTCCCGGTCATGGGCACCCTAAGGGCCGCTGTTACGTCACCGAACTCCGGGTCTGCGAACTCGAACCCCGCCTGCCACACTAAATGCCATGCTTCTTCGAACATGCTCAGTGAATCTTCTCCAGATGCTAGTAGGATCCCGAACGTGCGCCATCCATCCTCCGACACATACAACCAACCTTCCGATGCACATGCCCCCGCGGGTCCGGGTTCCACCCGTCCTCTCCATCCGCACGCCATTCAACCTTGGTCACCAGGTAAACCGTATTTTCCATAAGCTCGACCCTGACCCAATCCACCACCGGGTGCCGGATCTTATTTATGGTGGGTAGGCTGACTTCTATGCCGCCAGCCACTTCCCTTGGCGGCTCGATCCCCAGCGGGCGATCCTCGAGGAACGTCCTCCTTCGTGCCATCACGTGTCCTTTACCCGCCTTTGATCCTTATCCTGCAACGCCGTAGTGATCCCCACAATAGCCGGACACCCCATTCCCTCTCTTAGTACTCCTATCTTTGGCTAGTCCGCATACATTACATGTTTTCCCATCTATGTTACCCCCTATTTTTCCCCTTCCTTCTTTTCCTCTCCCCTCTACCCCCTAGCTTACCCTGCTAGTTCAGGTTTTTCCTGCCCCTAATCGAACCACACTACCTCGAATAGTTTGAACACATCATCCACATAGCAAGGTGTTGCCGCTACCTCCCTGCGGATTATGGTTTCCCTGATCTCTGGGGCTACCTCTAGTTGATCGTATCTGTCCATATTCAAAATGATGAGGACCTCCCAGACTCTGTCGCCATGGAAGGGCCCAAATTTCAACGACGTTTTATAAAACTCTTATGACAACCATGCACAATCTACGTGTACCCGCTCCATAGTGCTAGCCACCACTGCGACGTGGTCAAAACCCCCAAACCAGTCCGTCACGAACTCGGGTACCCAAATCTTGGTTCGCAGACAGGGAGGTCTAAGCTCCTTCCATCCCCCCATCACGACCTTACTATGGACTACATCCCATCCTTTATTGGCAAACCTCTAGCCTGCCCTCTGAGTCCTCGCCTCGACATTCTCCAGAAGCTACAGCGGACTATGTCCTGCCGCAAGCGTTGTGCAAAATAGGTGTCACCCTTGCTCGGAGAGGATGACCGTCCCGACCGATTCCACCCTTCCTTCCGCAATCTCCTCCCATCCTTCCTCCTCCTTATCAGGTTCCAGATTTGTTCTATCCACAGGTACGATAATTCTGGTGCAATCTCGAGTCCGATCTAATCACAGGTGGTCCCTCTCCATTCATTATCTGTCGGTATGGACATTTCTACCCCCCCTTCGACTCGTTTCGGCTCCCATCCTTTAAATGTGTAGTCCCTTAGCAGTAGTTCCCTGGCCATCGCTTCCTTCCTGCACAGAGCCGACCACCCATTTTCCCCCGGGTAAGCCTTGCTTCTCAGAAGTCTCAATCCTCTATCTCGTCATCGTTCTCGTCATTGCTGAAATCGTCCTCTTCGTCATAGAACAACTCCCTCAGCCCTTCTAAGAAGGTTTCCCCTATTGCCACATTTCGGTAAACTATCTGCCAATGTACTGGACTAGGGACATAGACGTCGTCAGTGCTAAGGTAGTTTCGCATATCGGCTAACTCTTCCACCCAGTTCCCTCCGAAAGACCCCATTTCTACCAACAGCCTAAGGAAGTCATGTCGAGCACACTGGTACAGTCTCAGGTTTGTCATTGACCGACATATCTGCTCCAATCTATTCCGGGTTCCAAAGAGCGCGTCAACCAGAAACGGGGGTAGTACGCATCTCATCGTTCTGAGGGGTCGCCTCACATTTCTCCTATCTCCAAGTTCCACTCACACCTCTACTTTGTCCCTCTCCATTTCCATCCGTTGACACGCCGCCCATACTACCTCTCGCTCCGCCTGCTTAAACAGCAAGTCCGACGCAGTCCCCAATACCAATTCTATCACCATCGCATTTTCACTTTCTTGAGATAGGTAGACCCACCCTCGGGCTTCCACCGTTCCTCGAAATTCCAAGTCCATCAAGCTCGGCGACAATCTCGTCAAGCTGACCTTAGTCCATATCGTCTCTATCCAGAGGAACGCGTCCTTCTCGTCCAGCATCATAGTTTGATAGGCTGGCTCCAGGTCTGTCCACGTTCCTTCATCCGGGAGGACGATGGATACCCCGTCCTTTACATCTATCGGCATTTCCGAACCGTTAGAATAGATTGGAGACGACAGTCGCCGCGCCATCTCGTTTTCCCAGCCCCGGTTCCTGTTTTCCATAAAAGAGCACCGCACGGGCCGTTTGGTCAAGCTAACTCTCTTCCTAGATGAGAATTGTTTCAGACCCCTCATCCGGGTTTCCCTAATTTCCCTTGCCCATTTCCCGAGTATCATCGCCCCGTTCCACCTTCAATTGGTCACCATCAGCCGACATTCCTTCTCTTGGTTCCTTTCCTTCCGACTCCTATCCTTACTCATCCCCATCTTCTCTCACTCTCGTGGACTTAGATAGGGGGCGAGAACAGACTTGGAAACTTGGTCCCTTCCCAACAATCTCAAGCAGCCTTACAAAGGGAGGCACAAAAGAAAGAAAAAAGTCAGGCAATCCTCGCACACAGGCCGGTCATCTCCTCACCGGCCTTTTCCCAAAAAATGGTCTCTCCACTGTTACTTTCGACAGAGTTTTATCTCGTACCTCAAGCACAACTCAACCGTCGCGAGCGCGGTACCCGGACTCCAGTGGGGGGACACCCTCACCTTCTTGTCCAGAATACCCCATCCCGTCTTGCTGCTCTTGCACACCCCCATTGGCACCGGGAATCACCCCGCGTACCCCGGTAAGGACAAAAGTCAACTGTCCGGGCATTCACATCCATCGGTCCGACAAGAATCAGCCTTTCCCATATCGTACTGAGAGAAGCTACTAATCGTCTCTGAGGCTCCCTCCGTGCCCCACATGCAGGGGTCCCCCTGCCGTCTGTCGACAAGCAGCCGCCCCGCCTGAGGAGACGCTTCACACCCCGCCTAGGTAAGGCGTCGAGCGATGCTCGGCCCGCCCAGGAGGGAATGCTACTAATCAACCGACGAGACCAACTCCTGCCTAACAGCTCGGTGGCCCGACCTCCGCACATGGAACCCGGTGAACTTCAAAGAGAGCAACGTTTCGCAACCTGCACCAGCTGGTGCAGACCCACCCTTTCCTTCCGAAGTGGCAGGACGCTCAATTACCCTCTCATACAATCCACAAGTCCCAAGTGAGACACATATAGAACAAGTGTCTTTCCCTTTGGTACACCCAGCGCCTCTTACACATCTCACAATTTTCTCTCGGGACTGTATGTGCAACTCCCCTTATTGTCCATACACAGTGGCTGGTTCCTTCTCGTGAGTATCTTAAAAGGTGAGCTAGTTTTCCTTGGAGTCTAGCAACTCCCTTCATTCCCCTTATCTTCTATAGTCTGTCCTTTCATAGGGTAGGATTGTTCTTTCTTGATAATCGTTGTGTTCATGTTGGTTCCTTCAAGCATTTCAAGTGTATAGTGCATGAGCCCACTGGGCTCAGAAGAAGAAGGGAGGAAAGCACCCAGTCGGTCGGATCACTCCACCGCGGGATTTTCATTGGGCCTCAGCCAAAGCCGAAGCACCAACCGCCTGCCAGGTAACCGGAGCCCCTCTTTCGCACGAAGAGGAGGGGTCGACCTGCGACTTGCCCGAGGCTTCCCGGGACTGGCGAACACCAGCACCGGAGGAAGGGGGGCTAGAGCCACTCCACCGAGGAGTAGGTTAATAAGGTGTAACATGCATGTTATACCTCCAGGCCTGGCCATGCCACGCGCCCAACCGCCCCCAAGTCTGATTCTCTCAAGGGGAAGAGCAAACACAAGTCCAATTTCTTTCTCTTCGATTATGTACATGGTCATGCGTCGGGCGTCCCCTTCGGAATCGCATGAGTCAATTTAACCCACACCCGACGCCTCCACCATTTTTTGGTAAGGTCGTACCCTGAAAGACTTTCGAGCCTGTGTCGACCCCACTACGGGTCCCAGTTGGCTCTGCTCCGCCCACGCTCAAGCTCAGGGCGCGGAGCGTTCGTCTCAGGGGCACCCCCACCTAGTGCTATGGGATGGATGGGGATAGGCCATTTACGAGAGGGCTTTAACATTGGGGGTTGTAGCTCCGCTCTCGCGTTAGATGGTAGCTTTACGGTCACTCGCGACGTTTTCTCGATTCATTTAGATGTGGCCAGACAATTGCTCCTTCCAATACTCATGCAGCCCAGGGGTGGGGGTTATTGATAATTTTTCTTCTTTTGTGCGTAGGCCAAGCGTCATCCTTGGGCCACACACCTTTTCACTAAACACAACAATCCCTATGGCATCATCGGGGCGAGGCGACACCATCCATCCCCTAGCCCCTACCCCTTTTCTTTGCTTGACACATGCATCCTTGTTCATATATCCTTCACCCGCCCTTAGTCCTTTTGGGCTTCCATATTGCATTCAAAGAGACAAAACGCACATTCGTCCTGCAAAGCCACGCCCCTTTGTTCCAAGCATCCTACACCTAGGCCCGCCCGTCTCAGAATTCATGCTAGGCCTTCGGTCTTTCCATCCGATCTTCATCCTTCCCTTTTGCTCACGTACCCCGGACCCAATCCCGCTCAAGTCATTCTAAGCTACTCACCTGCACAAATCCACACACATGCAAAGACCAATACAATCCCTCATTGGGGTCAACACATCGCCCTTCCCGCAAGCCTAAGTTCCTTTCTCCTTTATGCTTCCCTTGCCTTTCCCTTCCTTTCCACAGTCAAGCTATGTTTCCTTAGTCATGCAGTTGGGGAAATGGTTGAGTCAACTGACTTTGTGCCAAACTCTCTCTCTTTTACTTTTCTCGAGGACCTTGCCTTCCCAAATCCTCAAAGGGCTTTCCTTTTCTCCTTCTTGGTGGCGCAAGGGACCGGCTACCCTTCCCTTGCCCTCTTTCTCCACCAGGTGAGGACCGCTCCTTTTCGCCGTTCGTTCCCTGACAATGTAACAAGTGAGCGGGGCGTTAGTCACGTGCCAAGAAGGAAGAAGGGGGGAGAGGGTAAGGTGAGGGTCAAGGCTCTAGGGAAAGACAATGAGAGAGAGAGTGAGAGAGAGAGAGAGAGAGAGAGAGAGAGAGAGAGAGAGAGAGAGAGAGAGAGAGAGAGAGAGAGAGAGAGAGAGAGAG